CCAGGCTGGTCTTTAACTCCTGGGCTCAAGCGATCCTCCTGCCGTAGCCTTCTAAAGTGTTGGGATTACAGGCGTGAGCCACAGCACTCAGCCTCAAGTAAATGTTAGTAAGATTTTTAACGCTAATAAAAGTATGCAAACATGCAAGGTAGACATAAAGTTGTGTACCAAATGAAAGGTAGATATAAAATTGTCCATCAAATCCTTTAACACTGTGAACTAAGCAATACTCCTTAGAATAGGTTAAATTTGCTACAAATAAAAGCTACTGTAAAAGTAAACTCACAGGATTGGTAACCCAAAGCCACGGCACGGGATGAAATAAAGGAAGCTCAAGCAACCCCTGGTCCTACTCATCGTGGGAAGAATTCCTGACAGGATGGAGAGCAGCACAGATCTCGACCGGTAGGAAAAAGTCTTAGAGTTTTGTGTAGCAATTTCTGACATATTAGTTTCAACGAGACTACTGCACCTCCCTCCAACTCTCCCTATCACGAAACTGTTAACAAATCAAGTATTCAGATGCTCAAGGAGTATACTTAAAAGTCCAGCTCCCAGGGGCCTGCCCACAGCCAATCATTTAATTGTACACCATCCAGTTTCCAGTTGACCACTATACTATTCAAAAGTAATTGCAGTTTTCACCATTACTTTTTTTTTTTTTTTGGGACGGAGTTTCGCTCTGTTAGCCCAGGCTGAAGTGAGTGGCACGATCTCGGCTCACTGTAAGCTTCGCCTCCCGGGTTCCCGCCATTCTCCTGCCTCAGCCTCCCGAGTAGCTGGGACTACAGGCGCCCGCCACCTCGCCAGGCTAGTTTTTTGTATTTTTTAGTAGAGACGGGGTTTCACCGTGTTAGCCAGGATGGTATCGATCTCCTGACCTCGTGATCCGCCCGTCTCGGCCTCCCAAAGTGCTGGGATTACAGGCTTGAGCCACCGCGCCCAGCCTTCACCATTACTTTTAATGGCAAATACTTTTAATACTAACTGTTAGGCACTTTGTAAGCACCTGACAAAAATTCACTTGAAGCGTTTAGACAGTAAGCTTCTTGAGGACAGGTAATAGAGTTCAAAGCCAGGCAACAGTTATTTAACTTAATGTAGCAGATGAAGTTAATACTTTCTAAGGCTCCTAACAACTGATGCGCAATACAACTCGGTACACATATATTATCAGAATTTGGAACTATACACAAATGACTCACTAGATGAGTCACTAAATCAACAGTCCAATGGGAAAAACAATTCTGACATTCTTAAATCACTATTTCATTGCTTTTCAGATTTATACTGTTCACCTTTATACCATACAATCTTATAAAACAGCTCATAATTAATGTCTGAACTATTACATAACTGCAGATTTTCCTGCAAATTCATAATCTAAATAACAGAATCATAGAGTAAAAGCTTCAAAGGTGTTTAGTACCTAGCTTTCTAATAATGCTACACTAAAACTGTGATCTGTGCTGCAGACTGTCCACCGTTTAGGTTAGACCGAAGGCATGCTGCACAGCACCGAGCAGATTTAAATCCAGACTGCCAATGGGTGGAGTCATCAAAGAGCTGATACAGACTTCTTTACATTCCTACCATCACACAAGAGTTTTAACCCACAGAGGGCTCTCATAGAACTGCAGGGACAACTCAGCATTCACTCACTTCAATCAGTCTAAAAAGACTGCAAAAGGACTGATGGTTTATGTGATGTGCATAAAAAAAACCCCACAGTACAGAAGGAGAAGATGTTACTAATTAATTTCGTTGAAGCCATTTGTCAACTATAAGACAGCTATATAAGGATTTCCTGTTACTAGGTAGCAGTTGTGTTAAATGTCAAGTGAGGCAAAATGACAGTCCACAACCACAATATTAATCCAGACTCCTACTCCTTCATACCTGTATAACTGCATTATATTTTCACCTTGAGCATTTACAGTGTGCCAAGAATTGGGCCAAGTGATTATGTATATTTAATGTAATCTTCCAAAAAGCCTAAACAGGGTTTCATTATCCCCCTTTTATAGATAGGCCTATCTTGTGCCAAAGCCCAATCTCTTAACTTCTATTTTACACTGATCCCAGCAATCATCTTCTTGCCTCTATCCAGCAACGTTCCTGAACCACAGCAGGTCACTCTATGCTAATGAAACTGTTAACAACATCTTAAAGGCTTCCTAGATTGAAGCCAACTTCCTCATACCAACCTTCCAAGTTCACAACTGGCCTCATCTTACTTTCTCTGACTCTCTAGAAAACCTATTTGAGCTCATGTACTGATCCGTCATTATACAAACAATGTTCATGACTTAAACGTGTATGCACATGGGATGAATGCCTCATTCCCACCACCTGGAATGCCCTTTCCTTCCTTCCTCTTACAAACCAAACGCTACCTTCTTGGGGACTGCTGCAGATTCACCACCAGATGACCTGCCCCATAAAAGTCTCTCCTCTTACTATTCCCTCCTTTCTTTACATTCTCTCTGCTAAGGTATTCGATCTCTACCATACTGACATACATACTTTCCTTGAGTTGATGTGCGTATGAATATCCTTGGAAACAGTTAAGGGCCTTTTCAGCAGAAGATACACCTTTTAAATCACCTTTCTTCTGCCTCCCTCCTTTTGTAATTCTCAATTTCATAGGGTTGCATCTGTCTATCTGATTTGTTTACACTTAAACAAATGTGTTCACATGCTCTTCAAGATCTTAGAGAAAGCTTAGTCATACAAGCTGATGAACAATCTAACAACAAGCTGTTCGAAACCTGAATTAAGTATGCTACAAAGTGATGAGGGTTATCATCACCCTACCTACAGCTAATGACTCATATTTGAAATGGCTGTACAGAATGAGAGTTTACGAATACATCAACATGTTCTCTGTGTGTGCATACACATCTTTATAATGCTTATCACTACCTCACAGGACCTTATCATTTGTGCTTGACTTGCCAAAGAATGTAAGCTTCATGAGGGCAGGGGCTCTATTTTGCACACTGCTTTATTTCCAGAACATGGGGCAGCACCAAGCACAGTGGTATTCAAATATCTACTGAATGTATGAATATACACTTTGACAGATCACACGTAAGTGTACACCTCTATCAAGGATATATGGAAAGTTTTTACACCTCTAAGCAACTAAAAGGAACGCTATGGCTTACTACACGGCTTACTACTTGACCTTGCGCTTGAAGTTTAAGATATGCAGTTGTTTCGAGTCTTTATTTTCGTTCTACATCCCAAAGATGTTTAGCTAGTGAAGAAAAACTAGAGTACAAACCCCGAGATCCAGTATTTACCCGTTTGCCCAAGGAGAGGCGAGGACCATTCATAATAAAGTCACTTAAACAGTTAAGGCTTTGGATAGGACCAGTTTTTCTTTTCTGAAGCTAAAGTGGCGCGAGAGGAGGGCACACACAGTAGACAAAGCCAGCCAAGAAGCTCGGAAACTCGGCCCCAAACAATAGGAGCAACGACAGAGGCAGGCCCCGGGTTGGATCTACAGGGGGTGGAGTCTCAGAAAGCACCACCGAGTAACCCGCTCCATGTGCCGGCCCGACGTAGGGGCGAAGGAGGGGTTGGCGGGACTCAACTCCGGGAAGCCCCTTGGGGGTGTATCTGTGTTTGAGGCGGCCGGTGACCTGGGGAAACAGGGTGCAGACAGCTGCAGGGCTTTGCTTTTCTTTTTTTTAAGCGGTGGCAACGCTGGCTGTTTAATAAATCCCCAGCGCTCGGCGCGAAGAGGGAAATCCCCGTACCGAGTGTGGGACCGGATTCCCCTGGGACGGATGACGCGACCGCGAGAGGGGGACAGGGGAAGACTCCAGGGATGGCGAGGGATGACTTACTTTGAGGAGACAGCTGTTGAGAGGGGCGGGCACCGAGGTGCGGTGGATAACCAGGTCCTGGCCAGGGTTGTGCACGTCGCAGATGAGCTCCAGCACAGCGATGCTGCGGGCCGTGGACACAGACACGCGGTGGTCCTCGGACCAAGCCAGCGGCTCCAGGCCGCTCACCGCATACTGCAGCTTCACGGCCGGCTCCCGCCGAGTCACCATGAGGCGGAATGCAGCGCTGGGCCCCGGGGCCGCGTCCGCTGCTGGCTCCTTCCCGCCCGCCTCGCCGCCCCCCTCTCCCTCCTCCTCTCCGGGTGGCGCAGGGCCGTCGTCCGCGGGCCCCACCCGGGCCTGGTCGGCCGTGTTCATCTTCTCTCAGGTGCAGAGGTCGGACGCCCTGGCGCTCCAAACCCGCGTCTCAGTCGCGCCGCCACCTCCCGGACCGCCGCCGCCACCCCCAGCGCCCTCCGCGGCGGTTTTCTCCCCTCAGGCCCCGAGCGCCGCCGAGCCAGGAAGGACCCCGCCGTTGCCAGGCAACGCGGCTCTGCCAGGTGGCCGAGGAACTGCCTGTCCAGAAAAAGGACCGCGAGCTGGGAGCCCGGAGGACCCCCTTCCCCCTGCCCAGGGACTGAGCTCCGGAGCCTGTTAGGGAGCTACCCAGACAGTTAGGCTTTAGTTCGTAAAGTGCCGAGGAAACGCACGCAGCAGTAAAGGGGAGACTGGTCGGTGAGATGGCGCCGGGCCTCGTTTCTCAGAGGCATTCAGAGAGCTTCCCCAGCGTGAACTCTCGGCCGAATGTGATTTTGCCAGGCCGCTAGGGACGCAGAGCGGGGCTGCCACCCGGCGGGGGCATGCGCCCCCGGCTCGCCCCGACCCGCCCGGTGCCGCCGTCCCCGGCTCCCCTCGGAGCGGGTGCGTACAGCTGGAGCCGTTCCGGACCCGGAAGGGGCGGTGGCGCAGGGTCCTCGCGCGTCCCACGTGGGGTCCTGGGCCCGGCAGGTCTGCGCACCCGGCTCGCCGCCGCACCACGCGTCACCCACGCAGACCATGGCAGCCGCCGACGGTTCGCTCTCGGACAACCCCAGGACGTTCTCCAGACGTCCCTCAGCCCAGGCGAGTCAAGTGAGTTCTGACCTGGCTTCAGCTCCGTCCCCACCCGCGGCCCGGCTCTCGGCGCGCCGCGAGCTGCAGCCGTGCCTCGGAGTCGGGTTTCGAGTCATTTACGGAGTTCAGCGGGAGAAAGTCAGACCCGGGGCAGCTTCGGGACAAGTTGCGCCGAAACACGTGTCTCTAACCGGAACACCACCCGCGGGGATGCGCCTGGAAGGGGGGAGTGGAGCGGTGTGGAGGGGCGGGGAGCTGGCTCCTGCGCCTGGAAAAGTAGAGGGAAAAATTAGAGGCTGTTTCCCGTGGAAGGTAGGACCTGACGCTCCGGCGCAAGTCCCAGGCCAAGGCTTAACTTCTCTAAGCCAGTTTCCTCGACTGAGTGCGGACTAAGCTCTCTTTTTTTTGTTTGTTTGTTTGTTTTTTTTACTCTTCCCACATTCCTGTTTGGGAAGAGTCATGCGCTACAAACCATAAATTCTCAGATGGCTTTCATTTAACCCTATATATCGTGACTTGCTTTCCAATCTGGCTCTGGCCTAATATTATGTGACAAAGAAGAAAGTTAAAATATTACCCCAAAACATGTTTCTTTGCCATATTTTGAAATGGCCCTGCAAAGCTGTTCGTTGTGGCCGGGGTGGGGGAGGGGGGGGCGGAAGTTTGCATCTGTAAAGAATCTCTATTAACAGAGCTAGATCTTTTTCTTCCAGGCCCTCCCAATCCTAAAGAGATTAAGAGTCTACCAGCTTTCAAAGATCTGAATAGGGAACACTTGTCTGTTGTCTCTAAGGGCAGCCACTAAAGACTTCAAAAGAACCTTGGTCTCCACAATCTTTTATCTTCACCTGAGCATTTTCTTTGTATCCATCCCAGGTGTTTAGACAAACTCAACCAATTGTCAACCAGAAAATGTTTAAATCTGCCTATACCCTAGAAGCCCCCGCTTTGAGTTGTCCCACCTTTCTGGACAAAACCAGTGTATTTCTGAAATGTATTTGATTGATGTCTGATGCCTTTCTAAAATGTGTAAAACCAGGCCGCACCCCGACCACCTTGGGCACATGTTCTCAGGACCTCCAGAGGGCTGGGTCACAGGCCATGGTCACTCATGCTTGGCTCAGAATAAGTCTCTTCGAATATTTTAGAGTTTAACTCTTTTCGTCACCATGAGGAAGGTTCGTTTGTTGCAGGAGTGAGGACTGGCAACTAGGAGTTTTCTTTGAAGAGCTTTCAAAAATGGGACAGATTTTCTTTTTTTTTGAGACGGAGTCTCGCTCTGTCGCCCAGGCTGGAGTGTGGTGGCGCGATCTCGGCTCACTGCAAGCTCCGCCTCCCGGGTTAACGCCATTCTCCTGCCTCAGCCTCCCGGGTAGCTGGGACTACAGGCGCCCACCACCACGCCCGGCTAATTTTTTTTTTTTGGTATTTTTAGTAGAGACAGGGTTTCACCGTGTTAGCCAGGATGGTCTCGATCTCCTGACCTCGTGATCCACCCGTCTCAGCCTCCCAAAGTGCTGGGATTACAGGCGTGAGCCACCGCCCCCGGCCAAATGGGACAGATTTTAATCCACGTGCAATGGAGGGGGATAGGAAAATCGGTTTCATTGATATAATCCCATTGCTAGAGAGGGGAAAGATGCCCTAAAATTAACTTAAGCAAGAACTGAAACCTGGTTTCTAGGATGGTTGATTTATCTCCTGGAAAAGAGGACCACAGTACAGAAAGGCTGATGTAAAATCATAAAGTGATCATCAAACTTTAGGATTTAGATACTTGGCAGTAAGGAGTCCAGGTAGCCAAGTGTAGCTGCATCTGGAAGGAGCTGGGGAGAAGAATAGAAAAGCCACTGGGAGCGTGGGATTTGGAATAGGATAGACCTGGGATTCGATGCTACCCTTGCTGCACACTAGCTCTGTGACCTTGGAGCAAGTTATTTAATCTTTCTGATTCTCACTTTTCCTATCTATAAAATGAGAACAATAATTTCTACTTCATAGAAGACTATTGTAAGGATTCATTGAGATAACATACATAAAGACTATACGTTGCCTGGCCCATAGAGGCACTTAATAAATGCCAACAATATAAAGTAGTTTTGGCTCTATTTTGGATAATAGATTGCTACATCAGGAGGTCAGTGGGGTGCTTATGTCCTGTGCAGAGCCTGGTAACTAACACATAAGCATTGAGTAAGTACATGTAGGGTACCTAGTTTTATGATTATCAAAAGGGGATTAATTAATGTGGTGATGACAGGTGTCTGCAGTGGCCTTGTCTAGATCTACATTTTTTTTTTTGAGATGGAGTCTCTCTCTGTCGCCCAGGCTGGAGTGCAGTGGCGCAATCTCGGCTCACTGCAAGCTACGCCTCCCGAGTTCATACCATTCTCCTGCCTCAGCCTCCCAAGTAGCTGGAACTACAGGCGCCTGCCACCACACCCAACTAATTTTTTGTATTTTTAGTTGAGACGGGGTTTCACCATGTTAGCCAGGATGGTCTCCATCTTCTGACCTTGTGATTTGCCCGCCTCGGCCTCCCAAAGTGCTGGGATTACAGGCGTGAGCCACCGCTTGAGATGGGTAGCTAATATACTGGATTTAGAAAGACTGACAGCTTAAATTATGCTATATCTAACACTATGCAGACATTTTCTCTCTAAAAATACTTTCTGGGCTGGGCAAGGTGGCTCACACCTGTAATCCCAGCACTTTGGGGGGCCGAGGCAGGCAGATCACTTGAGGTCAGGAGTTGGAGACCAGCCTGGCCAACATGGTGAAACCCCCTCTCTACTAAAAATACAGAAAAAAAAATTAGCCGGGTGTGGTGATGGGCACATGTGATCCCAGCCACTCGGGAGGCTGAGGCACGAGAATCCCTTGAACCTGGGAGCCAGGGGAGGTTGCAGTGAGCTGAGATCACTGCACTCCAGCCGGGGTGACAGAGTGAGACTCCGTCTCAAAAAAAAACTGATTATTAATACAAATTTATTACAGAAAATTAGGAAAAAAGATTTTTATAGACCCACCCGTAATTGCCATACTCAGAGACAACGCTTGTTGCCGTTTTGGTGTATGTCCTGTTCTGGAGAACAACTCAAAATAGGAATCACTACACATGATGTTTTCTAAAGCAAAGAGGTTATAGTTAATAAAAGACCTTGATTATAGTATTGTTGGGAGGACTCTAGAATGTAGAATCATGATGCCTGGGGAAAGCCTGGTCCCTTCAGTGATTCCGGGACAAATTACCTCACATCTCTGCCTCCATGTTCGCATCTTAAAATGAGATGATAACAGTACCTGTGTTGACACATGAGAGAATACATGTGAGTACTTTGCGTACTCCTTGGCATACAGTAACTAGTCAGTATGTTTATTAATATCAAAGGCGTGGCATCTTAGACTCTCAGGGCTGGATGGGTCCTAGAGGTCATCGGCCAAATCCCCTCATTTTACAGGTGCGGCAGCAGAGACTCAGACGGAAGTGACTTGCTTCATGTTGCACAACTAATTTTTAGTAGATCCAGATATGTCCTTGCTCCCTGTCTGCCCAGACGCCACCTCACAAAGCATTCTTGGTTTTCTTGCCTTCCTCTCCTGTGCCGCAGGCCATGTTAGTCCAGCATTCCTTGGTGCTCTCATGGCCTTTTGTATGTATCTCTTCTGTAGCACCAGTGTAGAGGTTGGATTTATGCCTTTATACTTTTGTGTTTATACTCTTTATACCTTTGTACTCTGTTACTATGTGACTTCCTCAAGGACTTAGCGAATCTTTCTACTTTGTATCTTCAGAACCAAGCTTCTTGACAACTGCTGAATGAATGGGTTTTGGATGCTGGGGGAGAAAAGCTAACAAGTAGAATCTTATCCAGCTCGTGGAAAGAGATAGTTCCATTGTGTGTTATTCATTCATCTTACAAGTATTTGTTGAGTGCTTACTCTGCCAGACGGGGGCCTGTACAGGGGATACAGTGCTATGTAGGACAGACTGGTCCCTTTCTTGTGGAGCTTACAATCTATGGGAAAGACAGACATAAAACAATGAGTTCCATGCTATGCTTATTATTTTGCCGAATACTAGTGGAGGAGAATCAGGGTACCAGGAGAGCCAAGAACAGGGTACCTTGGCTTGACTAGGTGAAGAGAGGTCAGGAAAGGCCCTTCTGAGGAAGGACTTGGTCAGCCTACTTCTGAAGGATGAGTACGGGGTGGCCAGCCAGAGGGCCGAGTGGTGTCCTGGGTGTGGGAGTAGCATGTGCAGAGGAGGAGGAGGAAGGAGCACAGCACATTCTAGGAACTGAAGGAAGACCCGAGTGACAGAGAGTAAAGCTGAAGCTGGTGAGGTGGCCAGAGGTCAGATTCTACAGGGCCTTATTGATCATGTTACAGGCTTTTTTTTTCACTCTTGTCGCCCAGGCTGGAGAGCAGTGGCATCATGGCTCAATCCAGCCTTGACCTCCCGGGATCAGGTGATCCCCCCAACTTAGCCTCCCAGGTAGCTAGGACTACAGACATGCACCAGCTAATTTTTGTATTTTTTTGTAGAGACAGGGTTTCAGCATGTTGCCCAGGCTGGTCTCGAACTCCTGGCTTCAAGCAATCAGCTCACCTCAGCTTCACAAAGTGCTGGGATTACAGGCATGAGCTATGGCACCTGGCAGTATTACAGACTTGTTAGTTTAGCCTAAGAGCAATGAAAAACCTATTGTGTTTAACTCTCAGTACTTGCTTTTAGAGAGATGTTGACATAGGAACAAAGGGTGACCAAGACGATAAAGGATCTAAAGTTGTGTCCTGCTTGAAATATTAAGTCCAAAGAAGAAAGAAAAGAGAGTTACGTGATATACGAAGGAATGTTATGTGTTAAGAGGAAGTAAGCTTGTTCTGTGTTGCTGCAGAAAGTATTAGGGAGATGTTTAAGGGTGCAGATCTTGCATAAATGTCAGAGACAGCTTCCTGATTCCTAGAATTGGTCATGAACAGAATAGGCTGCCTCATGGGCTGCAGGAGGTGTGCCGGGAGAGGCTGCCAGTCCACGTGCCAGGGACTGTCAGGAATTCCATGCATGGCGGGAGTGGCCTTTAAGAGTTTTTGTGCTCTAGGAGTCCTGGGTCTGTAAATCAGGTGAAGTCTGCACATTTCATGCTGTCTTGCAAATGATTCAACAAACCTGAAACTTGATTTCATCAAGTTTCATCTCTTGATTTCTTTTTTTCTTTTTTTTTTTTTTTTTTTTTTTTTTTTGAGACGGAGTCTTGCTCTGTCGCCCAGGCTGGAGTGCAGTGGCCAGATCTCGGCTCACTGCAAGCTCCACCTCCCGGGTTCACGCCATTCTCCTGCCTCAGCCTCCCGAGTAGCTGGGACTACAGGCACCCGCCACCTCGCCCGGCTAGTTTTTTTTGTAATATTTAGTAGAGACGGGGTTTCACCGTGTTAGCCAGGATGGTCTCGATCTCCTGACCTTGTGATCCACCCGTCTCCGCCTCCCAAAGTGCTGGGATTACAGGCTTGAGCCACCGCGCCCGGCCTCATCTCTTGATTTCATCAAGTTTCATCTCTTGATTTCATCTCTTTAATCTGAAAATTCATAAACTTGAGACTTTGTAAAAAAATAAATTTGTAAGATGGAATGTCTGTTTTTACTTTATTAATATTAGATATTTGAAGTTGTATTTATTTAATTACTTAAGTAAAGGAATCCTTGTGGATCAAAGAACTATTGTTATTTGGTAGGTTAGTCTGAAGCTGACAGTCATGGCTAAAGAAAGCCGACACATAAAACCAAGTCATTATTTCAAGCAAAGAGGAAAATAACGTATTCTGAGAGAACCCCAAACTCCAGAATAACAAGCACTGGCTACTCAAGGGATGCTTTTATATTCATTTGTAAATCAGAGAAGAAGGCCAAATAAAATAGAGGAATTGGATGTTTCTTCTACGGGAAGTTTGGACATCATGCATTGAACCACATTCGTATAATGGAAATAAGAAGCAACAGGCAAGAGGTCCCTAGGGCTGTGTAGCCTGTAATCGGCAATCAGGCAGGGACTCGGGGACTCAGAGACTCAAAAGGCAAGGGAGGTAGGAAGTCATTGTGGTAGAGGTGATGGATGGAGCAGCATTCTCATTTGGAATGGGAACAGGGCGTAGAAATTTTCTCCAGGCCATCTGAATCTGGAGGAGCAGCTTGAGAGAAGAGAATGACAGAGATCCAGGCACTAGGGTAGAATGGTAATGAAGGTTTCCGCTTCCTGGGCACGGGCTGGGATGCGCGTTCCCCCTCGCCCCTCTCTCCTGTGCGATCTCCAGTGTGCTTTGTTAGTGGAGAGAAAAGATTCATTTTCCCCCTGCCCCTCTTTTCTCCTTGGGTGAATGGGTTTCTGGGAATATGGATTGACACACCCTGCACAAGGTGGATTCTTGCTTCCCTTAAAGCGGACTCCATTAGTTAACATTCAACTGGAAAAATGCTGCTGCTTCATCCTTACCTTATCTTGATTGATTTAACAGTTAAGGTGGATGGTGAGGTCTGGTAGATGAGTGAGCTGAGACTTTTTTCTTTTTTCTTTTCTTTACCTTTTGGAAGAAGCTGAGTCAAAGAGTCTGATTGCAAACCCTAAACTGTTGCTTGACATATGGGGCATAATGATCTCTGCAGGGAGAGATGCAATTCTGTGGGCAGTCAGGCTTCACTGCGAGCTCTGTCTTCATGGACTAATGCATCTCTTGTTGATCTTTCCTTCTGGGAACAACACAGCAAGCAAAGGCTACGAAAAGAAAACACCAAGCGTCCAGTGAGGCTCCCCCAGCGAAACGGAGGAACGAAACTTCATTTCTACCAGCCAAGAAAACTAGCGTTAAAGAAACTCAGAGGACTTTTAAGGGGAACACACAAAAAACGTTTTCTCCAAAGAAGCATTCGGTTAGCACAAGTGATAGAAACCAGGAGGAGAGACCATGCATTAAGACTTCATCACTGTTTAAAAACAACCCTGACATTCCAGAACTCCACAGGTATGTCCAGCGGCAGATGCCCTTCAGGAAGAAAAAAGAATGTGTTCTGCCTCTTCTTTGTTAATATTGGCACTGATGCCTGGGTTTTTGTTCATCATTTGCAGACCTGTGGTAAAGCAGGTGCAAGAAAAAGTGTTTACTTCAGCTGCTTTTCATGAGCTGGGCCTCCACCCACATTTAGTAAGTACCTCTCAGTGTTTTCTGGGTCAGTTGTTTTTGGCGTTTGTCCGTTCAGAAGGTCTGTGCAATGGCAGTTCTAGGAAGAGAAATCGGAGAGTGTTTGTTTCTGCTCTAAGTTACCTGAATGAACTCAGATTGATATGATACTCTTCTAGGACAGTTCAGGGGTGCTTAGGTTACTGTTCACTGTTTTCTGGCCCCCACCTTCCCCCATCCGGTGTGTTTGGTGTGTTTTTGTGTGTTGTTTTTTAAGTACTGAAGACTTTCCTCGACTAACGTGATTTAGGGTCAGGACATCACTTGGTAAACTTCAAACAGCTCCCTATTTACTGGATAGCTGTAGTGGTGAAGCCATTTGTGGTGGCAGATGTCACAGTGACCATAGGAGAGGGAACTGTGCTGGCATCTTGCTGTTAAAGGACATCCACAGTTTTAGAGAAGTGAGGGAAGAAGAGTATTTTAGTGTGTGTTCTACAAACAAACGGACACTTTAAAGGGAAAAAAGTTCTCCAGACTCATGAGTAAGAAGAAAAAATATATTAACTTTCAGGCAGGCTTGGTTTCCTCTGCACTTATGGTTATAGCTTACCTACCCCTTCTGTAGGGTGGGTTACCTAAGCTTGTTTTCTCACCTGCAGGGTAGAACAGGGTTTCTCAGCCTTGGTGCTGTGGACATTTTGGACTAGGTCAGTCTTAGTTTTGGGTACTTCCTGTGCATTGTAGGATGTTCAGCAGCATCCCAGGCCTCTACCCACTAGATGCCAGCAGTGCCCCCCTCCCCTTGGTATAGCAAGCAAAAATTTTTCCAAACTTTGCCCTTTGTGTCTCCAGTGAGTTAGGGCAGGTGACAGAATCGCCCCGAGTAGAGAGCACCACCTGGGTGGAAGAACTTCATTTGATCTTAGTAGTCAATGTCCTCTCAATAGTTTCTCCTTTTTTGTGTAACTTCCATTAAATATTTTGTATCAAAATATTAATTAAAGCTTTTTCATCTTCTCTTTTAGATTTCCACAATAAATACGGTCTTAAAAATGTCTAGTATGACCAGGTAAGAACTTCAGGCTCCTCTTGATTTCTTAGGCGTTACTTGGGTATAACCAGATGAAACCTGTCTGTGCAAGGCAGAGCAAATTTGTGTCTTGGCGTTAGAAAACAGTGCCAGGTTATCGACCATAAAGGGTTGTCATCTCACTTAGCTACTCATTCTCTCCACCTGTTAAATGGAAACACTGGCTTTCCATCTAGTTCTGCCCTTGGCTCTAAACTGCAAGAGACGTCTCATCCAGAAGGTGGGCTGCATGAGCGCCGCTGTTTTCTGTGCTTCCCTGAAAAGAATTTGGCCAAAATAGAGAATGTGACCATGCCGTTTCTTAGTAGTAAGAATTAGAGTCAACCAAAAAGGCAAGAGTAAATGTTCAGTTGTAGAGAGTGGGATACTGAAAAAATGTTTTCAATGTTTGTTACAGGGAATGACTCCTGGAAAATAAAGAAGTAAAATAGGTGCGAGGAGATGAGCTTCCTTGTTTTGAGTATTTGTGCTTCTGTGCATTTTCATAATGGTTTTTTACTTTTACTAGTAAAAATTAATAAGAATCTTAAAGACTAAATTAAGGGACCTCCCGACAAGTTTTTTGTTTATTTCATCAACCAAATTTAAGTGATTTTTGTGTCTCTTCTGTTTCTTGTTTTAAAATACATGTGTAGACACACATCTCGGCATGTCCATAACCTTCTCCTGGAGAATGGATAGCAGCTGCTGGCTCTCTGAATAGTTAGCGAGCTTCTTCCTGCTATCCTGCATGGAAACCTTTCCATTATGTTTCATTGTGTATCATATTCCTGTCAGTGAAGGCAAGAGAGTGTGTGATACACTTTGTGGTAACTCTGGTTTGTTGTCATGCCTGTTCCTTTTTTTGTTTTTTGTTTTTTTGAGACTTTTTTTGTTTTTGTTTTTTGTTTTTTGTTTTTTGAAACTCTTGTTGCCCAGGCTGGAGTGCAGTGGCACGATCTGGGCTAACTACAACCTCTGCTTCCCAGGTTCAAGCACTTCTCTTGAGCCTCAGCCTCCTGAGTAGCTGGGATTACAAGCACATGCCACCACTCCCAGCTAATTTTCTGTATTTTTAGTAGAGATGCGGTTTCATCATGTTGGCCAGGCTAGTCAAACTCCTGACCACAGGTGATCCACCCACCTCGGCCTCTCAAAGTGCAGGGATCACAGGCGTGAGCCACCGCACTCGGCTGCCTGTTCCATTTTTAGAAGAATTAGGTTAATAGAATGGCCAGTCTCTGGTTTGCCTCACCATTTTCAGGCTAAGTTCCAGAAATGTAACTAGGGTTTGATCTTTATAATCATCAAAAGTTTCTTCACACCTTTATTTGAATGCTTTGATAGCTTCTAAGGTGGCAGTTGCTAGATGAATCCAAGTGTGGGCAGTTGCCTTTTATGTATCCTGAGTCTCTGCCTTTAACTGGATGATATAGATAAAGCGTGTTCTTTTTTTCGGGTGGCCCAGCGTTCAGAAGCAAAGTATTCCTGTGTTGCTGGAAGGCAGAGATGCTCTCGTGAGATCCCAGACAGGCTCAGGTTAGTCTCATTTCATCTCTGCCCTTTTTCCTCTGCTCAGGCGCATGGTCATGCAGTAGGTTTTGCCATGAGGTATCTGGGTTGGTGGTGGTGGCAATTTTGTTTCGTTTGTGGGAGGGAGGCCATGCTTGCTTTTGATTAGAGCCCCGAATGTGTTCACATAATGAAAGGAAGGGGACAGTTGATGGTGCCACGATGCGGAATGATTAGGAAGTAGTGAGGTTCAGCTACAATTTCCTCAGAGCCTACTTCAGGGCTTTACCAAGTCCCGCAGTCTGTGGCCACAGTTGCCCATTCTCACTCTAGTGGAGAATGAATGTTTTCTTCTGGTATTAAACACAGAGTGATTTCTGGCCTGAGCATACACGGATCAGATGCCAGTTGTGCTCGAGGACAGAACACTGTTTCTGCCATGTTCCAGGTCAGTCTGGACTTGCGGTTTTGACCCTGTGTGCCCTCAGTGGGCATTCAGCTATCCTTTACTTCCACCAGCTCGGCCACCATTCAGAAGGCTGGATACCCAAAGTTTTTGCCATCTGTTGGTTTCTCCATCATTAGAGATTAGCTCTAGGGTACAGACTGGTTCCCAGTCACATCAGCACCGTAGAGGAGATGTAATTGACCACTGAAGCTCATCTGAGAGGGTAGGGAGGACTTCAAAGGAGGAATTTTCTGGCTCCTGCAGACAGCCATCAAGTCGAGCTTCTGTGTAATTTGGGAGACATATCGTTATCTCTTGTCAGATGAATAAAGGAACTGAAGCTTCTAGTTTTTTAGAAGTACTCATTTTACAAAGCAAAATTGGGATTTGTGGCAGACAGGGAAGCCCCTTTTCGCTTCTCTTGGATGTATAATGGGCAGTTTCCCTTTCCCCAGAATTTAGTACCACTGGAAGATAGCAGAGCCTGTTCCTTTTATATCCTTTGCTTTTCTTGCATCTGTAGGATGTTTAATTTTAACTGCTGCTGCTTTTTTTGAAAGGTAAAACTCTTGCCTATTGCATCCCTGTGGTCCAGTCCCTTCAAGCAATGAAGTCAAAAATACAGGTGTGTATCAAATGTGTTTTTCTGTCATTGCTTATAGTGCATAAGCAACCAGCAAACTGAACCCTAACAGAAATATCAGGACTAAAAGAATCTGTTTTCACTGAGTGTTTTTTTCACCTCCTTTTAATTTATTTATTACATAAACGTGTTGTATCTAAAGACTGTTCCTAGAGTAGAATAAATACACTTCACAATTGTCATAGTGAGTGTAACAGGGAAACTTTGTGAAATGCTCCCTGTGTGTCAGGCATGATGCTTTGCATGTGTTCCCTTCTTGAATCTTTAACTGCTCTCTCCCCCACCGTGTTTAGGTATTACTGTTATCCATATTTTACAAAGAAAAACAGGCTTAGGAAAGTTACATAACCAAGGCCATGCAACAAGTAATGGTGGAACTAGATTTCTACCTCAGTTCTGTTTGGCTGCAGAGATCAAGCTCCTTACTCTGTGTGAAGACTTACAGTGAAGGTTAATTACTGGCTCCTGTGCTGTATGGGGACCATGCATCCATGTCTTCCACAGTGCCTAACATGGGACCTTTTACAGAATGATGGCTCAATAACGGGGATTTGGTTTTGCAGCTGTCCCTTGATGCTCGCGTCTGTGTTGTATATAAAGCATTCAGTTTTAACCTTCTAAGTTCCAATGTGGTGCTTAATTTTGACCAAGAAGGCTAAACTTCATATTTAAAACAGTGGTTTCTCATGAACAGTAAATATGAAAATAAGCACCCGTTTAGCTGAAATATTAATACGAGGACAAATTGGGCTGCCTCATTTTTTGAGATTATGTGGAATTTATCTTTAGTTGTGAAATGTGTTAATTTAGTGCCTGGGTTGAGCCCCTAGGAGGCCAGTTAACTGCCGTGATCCGTGGGCGGAGGCTTCATCTCAGACACCAGCCCAGGATCCTACAGATACAGCCCTCGTTATTCTCAGCTGAGAGGAGGTGGTAAGACCAGAAATAGAAAGTGAAGTGAGTGCAAAAAAACAGGCAAAAGCTAATCGATGACTGTTTTTCTCAGTTTGGATATGCAGAATTAGCAGTGTATGTAGCCTGCCTGATACTTGAGTGACAAATAATAATAGTGTTGCATTACAGTCTGTAAACTAAAACAGAATATCCATGAGTTCAAATTGATATAAATAAATTATTGAATATATAAATGAGGGAGAAGGTAGAATTCTTCTTTATGTAGAATTCTAATAAATATAGACATGATAGAAATAGAAAGTCACCATTTGGCAAATGCCACAGTAATATTGTTTCAGGCATGAGTTATCATAGATGCTAAAATGAGTGGATGAAAGTGTTGTAGGGGCTGGAGTGGGGAGTGGATAGTTACATAGTCTCAAAATATCCCTCCACAAGATACTTTTTAATTACAAAGGGAAAAGCAGTAACTTTCCAGTCAGGAAGCCTGGCTGTCACTACCTTAACCAAATGATCAGTGTGCATCACCAGTAAGTAATGAGATGTTCTGACCTCATGTGCCCCCTGATACCCTGCACTGGGGAGGATACATCCCTTCTTGCCAAAAATGCATAACCTGAATTTGGTCATGAGGAAATGCCGTACAAATCCAAATCAAGGGACACTCTACAAAATAACTGGCCAGTGTTTTCAGAAAGCGTTAAGGTTATAAAAGACAAATGCTAAAGAACTACCCAGATTAAAGGGGAGATGACAACAAAATACAACATGTAGTCCTGGATTGGATCCTAGTCTGGAAATAGGACATTAACAGGTCAATTGATGAAATTTGAATAAAGTCTGTACTGTAGATTAGTCAATAGCATTGAATCAGTGTTAATTTCCCAGTTTTGATAATTATACTATGGTTTTGATAATTGATAATACATACAGAGAAGCTGAGAGAAAAGCATGTGGAAATTCCTTGCTTTTTTATGCAAATCTTTTGTAAGTCTGAAATTGTAAGCCTGAATTCATTCAAAATGAATAGGTTCAGAATTTTTTAAAATCAGTTAAAGAAACCCTACAAAATCATCCAGAGATGGAACCAAGTATAGCCATTAAAAAAATGATACTTTTTCAATTACCGTTTGTGAACTTGAACAATTATTTTTACTTTGTTATTTGGAAAAGGGCAAGTTACAAAATGGTATGTATAGTGTGACCCTAGTTTCATAAGTAATAGTTGTGTATGTATGCATAAAAAGGCTGGAATAATTCTTAGCAAACTGTTAACATCGATTTTCTCTGAGTAAGGAATTTTACTTCCTAAAGGTAACTGATTTTTCCCACCCCCCATATTAAGTGGTTTACAGCGAGAGAATTTGTGTAAAGTGCTTAACATTGTCCCTGGCACATAGAGAAAAATAAATGTAAATTACTACAATCATGTAGTAAAGTCTCATCCACTTACGGACTCCAGGAGAACATCTTGCCAGTGGAGAGGTTTTTCTTTATACCAGTAGAAGGGTTTGGACTCTTTGAGCTATTTGACTCTTTGGACGATTTGAGCTGGAATGGCTTATACAGTTCTAGCCTAACTCTCATTTCATAGATCCGTGACTGGAGGATGAGAGAGATTTGATGACATACACGTCAGGGGAATGGTGTGGTGGGCAGCTGTGCTCAATCCTGGGTCTGAGGGTAACTTGAGGCAAATCGTTCATCCTCTGTGCCTCAGTGTCTTTGCTGTGGCACAGGGACAATAGCAGTGCCTGTCTCCAAGTGCTGGGATCAGGGTTGAGCTAATGCATGTGCAGTATTGAGACCCGACGTGCAGTGCATGGTGACATCATGCTTTAGCCATCATCAGCAACGTGGTCATGTGGCTAGTTGGAGGGGCAATGATTTGATTGGTTATATTCAGAACCGTTAGTAAGCCATGTCACTTTTTATTTGCTGCAATATTTTAAAAAATCACGAACAGGTCATTCTATTAAAGACTGGAATATTCTGTAGAAACACAGTTTTCCAAGCCTCAATTTAATTCACTTATTTCAAGAAATACTCAGTATAGTCCCTTGGAGTTCATTGTAAAATGATTTGACCTGTAAAAAACTTATCTGGAGGGCACAGCAAATTTAAGGCACCCAACAGATTCTTAAATTACTTTGGTGATGGCATGAGAACGACTGCTTTTCTGTGTTCACACTCTTCAGTTATTTTGGCTCTGATTTTTTTTTTTTTTAGCATCGTATCCATCCTCCCTCACTTACTTGTGCCCTGTAAGGAATTGATTTTTCTTTCTTCTTCTCTATGTAGTAACACCTTTTGAAATGTCAGAATTTCCTAACGTCACACGATGGCACATTGCTACTATTGTACTAGCATATTTACCATTCCTAGCTTGCGTTCGGTGTAGTCTCACAAAGTCGATGTTGAGTACAGACGACTCTGGTTTGAATTCCAAATCCTTTTCTTCTTTTGGGTAAATGTTTCTTATGCAAAACACGAAAACCATACTTGTAATTGAATTTGCTGTTAGCTCTGTGCTTAGCTTTGGCACTAACATTGTTTTGTTTCATTCATTCAGCGTCTTTGAGCACTTTGGATGTGCAAGGCACTGTTGGCTTAGGGGCCTTTTTCGGATTACTTTGGTTTCTTCTATTTTTTTATTAATACTTTTTAGATATAATGTACCATATATGTTTTAACAATTTCGAAGGGTACCAAAAATATATATATAGTGAAAAGTAAAGTCATCTATTCCCACTTTGCCCTAGTGGCACAATTTGCTTCTCAAGATGCCATGGTGGTTATTAGCCTTTTGTATATCCTCCCGGGGAAATTTGTGCCTATCAAGCAAATATGAGTATGTGTAATTCCTCTTACCACTTTTTTGTGAAGTGTTTTTTCTGTTTTGCTTGGTTTGATAATGAGTGGTTGCTTGGTTATGCAGGATGTTCTGTGCCTTGCTTTGGTTCCTTTGATGTGTTTTGGGCTCCTTAATTAGCACCATATTGGGCTACCTTGTTCTTTTTGAAGACTGCCTAGCATTTCATTGTATATATGTATGTACTGTGAATTACTCATTCTCTTATTGGATGGTGGAATTTATATTATATTCAGTATTTTGCTACCAACAAGGCCACTTAAATACTCTACAGTCTGTAAAATATTCTACAACCTCTTTATGCACACATATGCTCTGTAGGAGAACTTTCTGTAAGTGGAATTTGCATTTTATTTTAGTAGATAATGCCAACATTAAACTTGAAAGGGAATATGCCAGTGTGCCCTCCAGCAGCGGTGTAAAAGGTCCAGTTTTCCCATGCCCTCCAGTGCTCTCAGCTGCTTTCTGTTTCTTCTTCCTTTACGTTTTTTTGAGACAGAGTCTCACTCTGTCACCCAGGCTGCAGGGGAGTGACGCAATCTTGGCTCACTGCAACCTCCACCTCCAGGGTTCAAGAGATTCTCCTGCCTCAGCCTCCCGAGTAGCTGGGATTACAGGTATTTGTATTTTTAGTAGAGACAGGGTTTTACCATGTTGGCCAGGCTGGACTTGAACTTCTGACCTCAAGTGATCTGCCCGCCTTGGCCTCCCATAGTGCTGGGGTTACAGGCAGGAGCCACAACATCCGGCGCTTTGTTCATTTTTCTATTTGAATTGTTTGTTTTGTTTTGTTTTGTTTTGAGATGAAGTCTCGCTGTCTCGCCCAGGCTGGAGTGCCATGGCATGATCTCAGCTCACTGCAACCTCCGCCTCCTGGGTTCAAGAGATTCTCCTGTCTCAGCCTCCTGAGTAGCTGGGATTACAGGCATGCGCCACCACGCCTGGCTAATCTTTGTATTTCTGTAGAGACAGGGTTTCACCGTGTTGGCCAGGCTGGTCTCTAACCCCTGACCTCAAGTGATCCACCCACCTCAGCCGCCCAAAGTGCTGGGGTTATAGACGTGAGCCACTGTGCCTGACCAAATTGGTCTTTTTTTAAAAACTGAATTACAGGGCTTTTAAAAATCTATAAATTAAGGAAATTAGCTATTTCTCTCAGGTGTGGCATATTTTCCCCCCAGGTTATCATTTGACTCTTGGTTTTGTTTAGGCTTTATTTTTCATTCTGAAATTTAAAATTTTTAGGTAATAAAATTTATTGGTGTTTTCTTTTAAGGTTTCTGAGTTTTATGTCATCTATTAAAAGGACAACTTAATTCCAGCTTTGTTTTCCTAACTTTATTTTTTTCTCACAGGACTTTTGAATTAAACCATCTTTTTCTTGCTGATATAAAATGGTCCTTATATTATTTTCTAAATTTTGGTATCTATTTGATTCTGTTTTCAACTCTATTTACTATTATAATCTCTATTCATGTGCCAGTATCATTATTTGTAATTGCTGCAGCTTTAAATTATTTTAACATCTGATATGTTTTTCATAAATGTCTTGGTTATTTATGTACATTAATTTTTCCATATGAACTTTCAAATCAGGTTGTTTGGTTATATATGTTATTTTATATGTACATGTATTTGTGGCATTTTTGTTAGAATTACATTACATTTATGGACTGATTTAGAGAGAATTAGCTTATATGTACTATTGCATCTTCTTATCCGGAAATAGGGTATATCTTTCCGTTTATTCAAAATTTACTTTATGCCCCTCAGAGATGTTTTAAAATTTTCTTCATATAGATTTTGTGTATTTTTTGCTAAGCTTATTCTTTTCGTATTTTTTGTTGCTATTAACTTTTTATATTGGAAGGCTACTGAATAATAATAATAATAATTATTATTATTATTTGAGACTGAGTTTTGCACTTGTTGCCCAGGCTGGAGTTCTATGGCATGATCTTGGTCCACTGTAACCTCCACCTTCTGGGTTCAAGTGATTCTTCTGCCTCAGCCTCCTTAAGAGCTGGGTTTACAGGCACCCGCCACCATGCCCAGCTTATTTTTGTGTTTTTTGTAGAGACGGGGTTTCACGATGTTGGTCAGGCTGGTCTCCAACTCCTGACCTCAAGTGATCCGCCCGCCTTGGCCTCCCAAAGTGCTGGGATTGCAGGCATGAGCCACTGCACCCGGATGGTTATTGATTGTATATTTTAATTTTGCATTCAGCTGATTGACAAAATTATCTTGTTTGTAATAGATTTTTAATTAATTCTCTTATGGTTTTTTATTTCTAAGATAAAATAACATCATCTGCTAACAATATTTTTGTCTCCTATTTTCTAATTTTATACATCGTATTTCTTTCTCTTGTCAGATTGTTTGGGCCAGGATCTTTAGAACAGTATTCTAGAATAATGGGGTTAGTTGGGTGTATTATTCCATTTTTACGCTGCTGATACAAACATACCCGAGACTGGGAAGAAAAGGAGGTTTAATCTGACTTACAGTTCCACGTGGCTGGGGGAGGTCTTGTAATCATGGCAGAGGACGAAAGGCATTTCTTTGTTTTTTTTGAGACGGAGTCTCGCTCCGTCGCCCAGGCTGGAGTGCAGCAGCCGGATCTCAGCTCACTGCAAGCTCCGCCTCCCGGGTTCATGCCATTCTCCTGCCTCAACCTCCCGAGTAGCTGGGATTACAGGCGCCTGCCACCTCGCCCGGCTAGTTTTTTGTATTTTTTTAGTAGAAACGGGGTTTCACCGTGTTAGCCAGGATGGTCTGGATCTCCTGACCTCGTGATCCGCCCATCTCGGCCTCCCAAAGTGCTGGGATTACAGGCTTGAGCCACTGCGCCTGGCCGAAAGGCATTTCTTACATGGCAGCAGCAAAATAGAATGAGAAAGAAGCAAAAGCAGAAACCCCTGATAAACCCATCAGATCTCTTGAGCCTTACTCATTATATCATGAGAATAACCGACCCCCATGATTCAATTACCACCTCCCACCCTGCCCCCCTGCCCTCCGTCCTAAAACGTGGGAATTCTGGGAGATACAATGCAAGTTGAAATGTGGGTAGGTGCATAGCCAAACCACATCAGTGGCAACCTTATTTTGTCCCTTTCTTCATCGAGAGTGCTTCTGATGTTCTACAACCGGCCACCCCTTGTCCTGTCCATTTGGAGTCTGCCTTTATTTATCCTGCTCATGGCATTTCTTTTCTGTGTGTCAACAGCGCAGTGATGGCCCCTATGCCCTGGTGCTCGTACCAACGAGAGAGGTAAGCAGGCTCCCTTTTGGGGCAAGTTTTAAGCACATGCTTTCACTAATGTCCCTTTGAATTTATAAGTGGTTTTACCATTTTTCTCCCTACTGCACAAGCCACTGCACACCAGTTCCATTTGCCTGGAAGCCATCCTTCTGGTTCTTGTCAAGGAGAAAACTTCAAGTAGTCTCTGAGAATCATAAGTATGGAAAAGTATTTTCCTGTTATCTAGAAACTAATGACACTATTAAATGTCTGTTTAATCGTGTTTTGAATTAAGTTGCTTAAAAAAAAAAACTTGCGTTTTTGTAGGCTTTTTTTTTTAAGCAACTTAATTCAAAGCCAAAAGCATTTGGTTCTGAAAATGAACCTTTAATTTTTTTAAGAAGCTACTGCTACCAAAAATGTTACTTGTTCCTAAAAGTTAAACTTTTCAATATTTTTTTTCTTTCTTGGTGGAACTCTATTCTATCTAATCTATTTTATTTGCCCACAGTGGCAATTTCGGATTAGGGTATCTGGTTTCTATATCAAATGCTGATCACTTCCTTACAGAGAATTGACCACAGAGATGATTTGAAGTCAGCCTTTTATACAGCCTGCAGTCCCCTATCTCAGCTCAGTCCAATGAAGGAGCAGGCACAGAAACTATTAAAATGTTTACAGCAGCAAACTTGCTACTTCTCTAGGATGCTTCATGAATACTAAATATGTGGAAACTGTAGATACATCCTTTAAGAACGGGATTCTGTATGAGGCATTTTTGAAGGTTGTTAATGGTTGTAACCTACTTTAATTTTCACTTGCTTTGTTCTCCAGTGGAGCTGTTGGTCTGCTTTTGTTTTATTGATGTAAACTTGAGGAGTGACCGTCATCTCCCGGGCTTCACATACCCTGGGACAGTTGTAGAATACAGTCATAGCACCTTTAGAGTGAAGTTCCCAGAGGCTACCCTGTTGCATCACTATTCTGTCTTACCTCGCATACATATTCTTTCTCTTTCTAAGGAGAGTCAAATTCTGGTTACTTTGGTTCATTCCCTTACATTTTTGTGCAGCACAGACTTGAACTTCTCTGTGTGGCACTGTGGGAATTTGAGCCAGCAGAGGGAGCACAAAACACTATTTTTGTGTATGTCCAACAAATAGACGTGGTGTCTGTAACTCTTTGCCCAAACTGACAGGTTGCAGAACCAGTCTAAGAACAAGGTATATTAGATTCTGTGTATAGGATTTTTTTTCTTCTTAAATCTTAACTTCAGGTCCAAGTTTGGATCCTAATCACATTTCCATTTCTTTAAAAAAAAAAAAAAAAAAAAAGACGGGATCGTGTTGATCATCTATAACTTTTGAAATTTTTACAGCTGGCTCTACAAAGCTTTGACACTGTCCAGAAACTGCTTAAGGTAAGGCAAACCATGAGTTCCATTTTATCTTGCTTCCTGACTTTGAGGAAGGATTTAGTATACCACAATCTATTCTTTATTTTCAAAGAGATAAGAATTATTTCCTTTTGCCTGGATATCTCTGCTCTCTCTAGGTAGTTTATAGGTTTTTACTGCTCTAAACCCACCCATTTCTAGCTTAGCTGGATTATCAGTGACTCCTGGTGGATAAAGTCCTATAATTGGTTCATCATAGTCACTAGCAAGCCACATAGAGAAATGCACAGGTATACCCTGACGGTGACCCAGTGGAAAGCAACTTAGCTGCAAGTAGGGTTTGTTTAGAAAGAAGAGTGAAGGTTTCAGAGTCGAAGCCAGCCAGTTCACCAAATTAGATCATGAATTGATCCATTCTTTCTTTTATTAGGGGTGGAGAGTAGGGAAAGGTGTTGCTTGGGTTTTAACCCCAAAAAAGGCAGTAGACTTACTGAAATGTGTTTTCAATTCAGGCTCTGTGGGGAAAGACAGGGAAGCTACTTGAATGATTTAAGAAGCTCACATTTCTTTCTCACTGTGGTAGAAGCTAGTTATATACCTATAATTCAAGTTACTACTGATAGTGTACATGGGTGTAGCAATGCCTAGGAATTGTGTCTGCACAATAACACCTTATACAATGAGAAGTGCCAGTTCTCTCTCATGCCTTAAGGAAAGGGAATTTGGAATCAGTGTCTGATGTTTAAGTAAAGGGGCTTTGCACTGTCTGTGGTCTGCTGTCTTTCTGTAGCCTTTCACCTGGATTGTGCCTGGAGTGTTAATGGGAGGAGAGAAGAGAAAATCAGAAAAGGCCAGGTAGGAAGAGGTTTGTTGGTGGTTATTTCCTTCTTGAATCTGTCCTGCCTTCCTATTCCATAAGGCTGGGTCCTTCTAAACCTGCTGAGAGCTTTGTCTCAGGCTCTGCTTCCTAGTCCCAGTGCACAGGGACAGATTGAGTCAGTGGGGAGCGGTCACCTCTAGACGGTGCTGTTTTTTAAAATATTAAACCTACAAACACGTTTCCTTCTGATGTTGCTAGTAACAGTGCTGTCACCTTCTTAACTCCCAGCTACCCAATGCCCTACAGCATCCCTGGTGTAGTATACATCCACCTGGGTGCAACTCGCTTTTGTGTACATTGAGAGTTTGGGGTTTTGTTGTTTGGTTTTACAAAAACAAGATCATTAACTCATATAATGCTTTGGGACTTGTTTTTTACGACCAAATATGTTTATTCCTTTCTTTATTAGAATTTATAATGGGGGTCAGTTGAAAATTGTTGCAACAAGTAAATCTCAAATTGTCTGCATTCTTTTGAAAACATTTTTATTGTATTACAGCTTAATAACCAGTACTCAATAATGGTGCATGTAGTCTGTAACCGAGGAGTAAATACGAAACCTGTAACCTCAAAGCATTGGTTAGGATTCGACTCAGCTGTGAATAACAAGAAATAACAGTGGCACAAACAATACACAAGTTTTATTTTACTTTCACATTTAAGAAATCTGACAGAGCCATTCCAAGGCTGGCCCGGTGCTCCAGTGTCAGGGACCAAACTCTGTCTTTTTGTGCCACTATGGAAGGATTCCATTTTTAAGGTTGCCTCATAGTCTTAGATAGTTGCAGGCATTCCAACCATTGAGTCTAATTTCTTGCCAGCAGGTACAGAGATAATCATACCTGCTCCCTCTGAAGGTGCTTGTGTGATTGGCATGTTCCCTTTACCCTTTTATCCCATTGCTAAAACAGAAGCATGACTATACTTAACTGCAAGGGAAGCTGGAAAGTATATCCAGCCAGGCTGGGTGCAGTGGCTCATGCCTGTAATCCCAGCACTTTGGGAGGCCAAGGCAGGAGGATGACTTAAGACCAGGAGTTTGAGACCAACCTAGGCAACATAGCGAGAACCCCATCTCTACAAAGAAAAAAAAAATGTGCTAAAAATTGGAAGCCTTTATTACTATGGACTAATAGGAAAATGGTTGTTTGGGGAATGAGAAATTAGATTTATTGTATATAACCCATGGGACAAAGCTAAGCCCCGTTGTATGGAAGTTACATAAAGGGCTTAGCATAAGAAAAAAGTGTCCTAGCAATTGAAGCACACTGGCATGGGATAACTTGCTCAGATACTAGATTCCCTAGCACAGAAACCTTCGAGAACAGGCTAGACTACAATCTCTTTGGAAGGTTCTAGAAAGGATTTGTGAATCAGATAAAGAGCGTTGGATTATGTAGTTATGATTCCTTTCAAAGTTAAGGTTTTATGATTTTAATGTAATTTCAGATCATAACAGTTGCATCTCACAGTACAGGGAAAGACTCAAGCACAGCTTTCTACCCAGTTTTTATGTTTTGTCATGATTTGAGGCTATGGCACGTTTGTACTGTACATGAAATGAGTCTGTCTCTTTTGCCTTTTTCCTGTGTTTTCTATTGGCGTAGCCCTGTTTGAGTTATTTTCTTTTATGATATATAATTTTAAACAGACTCCGCAAAGGAATAAATATCCTTATCTCAACTCCTGGACGCCTGGTGGATCATATAAAATCCACAAAGAACATTCATTTTAGTCGACTGCGGTGGTTGGTGTTTGATGAAGCAGACAGGTGAGCCTCGTCCCAGGATGATGACAGGTAGAACAGAAGGGCTGTTTCTGCTCTCCTTGTTGCAACTTCTGTGGCCCGTTAGACCACATTTGCTCTTCATATAGATGAAAATTTCTTTTTTTTTTTTACAACCACAGAATCTTAGATTTGGGTTTTGAAAAGGACATCACAGTGATACTTAATGCTGTAAACGCTGAATGCCAGAAACGACAGAACGTCTTGCTGTCAGCGACACTCACAGAAGGTGAGTTGGAAAGAAGTGATGGGTCCTTCTTTGTTCTTAATGAAGAGGAAGGACCTAGATTTAATCTGGGTTGTTTGCTGCAGTGATTCTCAACCTCAGGGAGGTGAGGGGCAGGGAGGGAGATGTCCTTAGAAGACTGCCTTTTCAAACTGTATGTTCAGCACTCCCAGCTTCGCTCTTCAAGTCATCCAAGACAGATATGTTCCCCAGCACATGGGGAAAGGGAGAAAGGGCAGGGATGAGGACGAGAAAAGACTGGCTGCCGTTGGCTTGGTGGTTTCATGAGGTTTTTTCGCACTTGCAACCCACAGAGAGCAGGGCCCTTGCACTGAAGATGATGACCTCTTATCTGAGTGCATTTTTGATGTAATCACTCTTCCTCCTATAGAGCTATTGAACTTAAAAAATATATCAATGAAGCTCTTCTCTGTCTTCCATCCATATACAATAGAAATTCTTAGCTCTCTTTTATCAGTGGGAACACGAAGGCTTGGAAAAGTTGCATCACTCTACCAGAATCACCCCACACAGTGAGTCATTGACCAGCAGTGCAGCTTTCACATTCTCATGTCTGGTTTCCTTGGTTTACTAGGCCACATTGTGATGTGCATGTACCAGATGCCATGCATGTGACCCCTCACAGTTCCCCATGTTTTAAATTTTGAGGGATGATTCATGAAAAAGGGATTCTGTGGTCAAGAAAGTTTGAGAAATACCCCACATCCCTCCGTTGGATATTCTCAGGGCACATTAACATAATAAAGGCCCTGAGAGGGCTGCTTAGAGCAAAGAAGCTTTTGTGAAACCTTTGAAATCCAAGGTTTACCATAACTTACTTGGTCAAAGAACCCTTTTGGGAGGTGGGAGTGGGCGCAGTATCTGTTGCTGTCTTTTGGACGCTGTTCCATAGGTGAGTGTTTATAGAACGTTGGTACAGATTGGTTATTAGGCTGTGGGAAGAAGTTTTGGTAGATCTCCCTGCAACACACAGGTTGGCACTAGGGCAGATCAGTGCTGGGACTTGGTGATACCCATGGGGTAACATACATAGTCCTAATATTCATGGGTGGGTGTGTATAGGGGGTATGCTTTTATGACCAGTTTCACAGTGTGTTTGTTGTCTGCTTTGCCCTTCTCACTTTTATCCAAGGTGTAACGCGGCTAGCTGATATCAGTTTGCATGATCCAGTCAGTATTTCAGTCCTGGACAAGAGCCATGACCAGTTGAACCCAAAGGACAAAGCGGTCCGGGAGGTCTGTCCTCCACCAACTGGCGACGAGCTGGACAACTTTGCAATACCAGAGAGTCTCGAGCAGCACGTGACTGTGGTTCCCAGCAAACTGAGGCTTGTCTGCCTAGCGGCCTTCATCCTTCAGAAATGCAAGGTGGGGCTGTGGGCTAGTGCCAATTTGATCCGGGGAAGAAAGGCCTGCTTTCTTGTGTTAAGCCATTGGTAGCAATGAGTTAAGACACCAAAAATCAGAGGTTTTCCAACTTATGTCTGCATTCCGGATGCAAACTTTGATGTACATCCTTTCAGTCAAGTTTTAAGATTATGGTAAAGAATCAGAGGTCAATGGTAGCCACGATGTTCAGCTTGAAATCTGTCCTCGATACCTTTCCTGGGACTGATAGTAGGCACATCACAGGTGGCGGGAACAGCTGGATGTGAGGCAGACATAGGGGCTTGTGCTCATGTTTCTCCAAGAGTCCTGGCATATGTGTATTTATTTACTAGACTTCTGTGATGACTCCGAGACGTGAGAAGATAGTAAGTGGAAGGGCTTCAGGGTGAAGATTTTCTGCATATGTAGGGTCTCAGCAGGTAGTGTTGCTGTGGCAAGCCCTGGATGAATAAGGGGAAGGGAGCTCCCACACAGCTGTGCCCTGAAGTGTGTTTATTTTTGTCAGATAAGGGAAACCTGTTTGAAATGATAGCTGTGTCGTTTTCCTCTCCTGCATTCTTTGTAGAGTGCAGTATCACTGTTTTTGTTTTTTAAAATAATTCAAAGATAGTCACCTTTATTTCCAAATGGGGGTCAGCATGACTGTGTAGTTTAGAGAAATATTCATTTTGGCGTCACGTAATCTTAAAATCTGTGGGTTTTTCCTCCCTTTGTATCATGTAGTTTGAGAAAGACCAGAAGATGGTTGTCTTTTTCTCAAGTTGCGAGCTGGTGGAGTTCCACTACAGCCTCTTCCTACAGACCCTGCTGAGCAGCTCAGGGGCGCCGGCATCAGGGCAGTTGCCATCTGCCTCCACGCGATTAAAATTCCTGCGGCTGCATGGCAACATGGAGCAGGAGGTGAGCACTGATCTCCCTGTGCAGCGACAGCACCGTGGCCCCACGTGGAGATGGGGACAAACCTGAGTCCGCCAAACCTGTTCTTTAGGCTCAGCAATGGCTACGACCCTTGCACACTCCACTGGGCAAGTCAAGAATTCGATGAAAATGGGGGACCTACTGGAACTAGAGGGGATCACACTGCTGGATTGATGTGGGCAAGGAGAGTCTATTGTTCCCATTTGCTTTTGCTCCGGGAGCTGGTCTCTTCCACCCGAGAGAGCTCACAGGCCCCGACTTGGCCTGAATCTACCTCAACCAGCTGTTAAGGCAACAGAGTACCACTAAGTAGCTGGCACCAGGGAAGGGTTTTGCCTTTTTAGTACCCAGTGTGTAATTAGGGCTTGATGTCTTCAAATTAAGAGCATTAATGGAGCTAAATTGTGGATCCCATATGGTACTGCTGAGCACGGCTGCTGTCATTGTCAACAAGACACAGCGCTGCACTCAGAACACTTTCGGTTGGGAGAGGGTACTGTGAACCAAAGGGGCTGCGGGTTCCCAGTTCTTTCTCGGCACGGAGTAAGATTTCCGTTCACGAAGAAGAGTACAACATTTCCTCTATTTTAGGGACTTAGCTGTGTGAATCGCATTCCTCCACTCTTAACTAGGCCGTTTGGTAGGGAGTCGGGGTGGAGTACGGGAGTGAGATATGCTCACTGGAATTGGGAAAGAAAGGATGAGCAAGACTCGGAAGTAGGAGCCATTTTGCCCTAGAGGAGAAGGTACCAGGCAGCTTTGCAAATTAGAAAGTGGGAAAGAAAACTAGAAATCGGAATGAGATTTGACTTGAGCCAGCTTAAAAGATCATAACATTTTTAGAACTAAAAGGGACACCAGAGGTTTGACACGATCCTAAACAAGTCCAACCTCTCTTTGCTTTTGCTCTTTTGTTTTAATACTGAAGTAAATAGAGGCCCAGAAAAGTGAACTTGCTCAAGGTCACTCAAGGACACAGGGTATTTGCCACAAGATTATATAGAAATCCCTGAATATTCCAGCCCTTGTGCATTAGGTAAACTCTTGGTCTTTACCTTCGGATCCCTGATTCAATCAAACTTGTTGATTTTATTTTTTTAATACCATTAATGGTTTGGGGTTTTGTTTTTGTTTTAAGCTTTGTTTACTAATCCTGTGAGTCTGTTTTTACCAGAGGCGTTCTGCAGCGTCGATCCAAGCGACTGGGGGAAGCTGGGTATGGACTCAGAATAGTCTAGGAATTCACTATAATAGATCACACACACGAGTCTATAGCTTCATTATACAGAGGCTGTTCATCTCACATTGTAACAGGGGAGTAGTCTAGCATGCTGTTTATAGCTATGCTCTCTGGGGGCACACTGCTTGTGGTCCTGTCCTGGCTGTCATTTGCTGGCTGTGTAATCTCAGGTAAATATTTAACCTCTCTGTGACTTAGTTTCCATGTCTTTAAAATGGGGATGATAATTGTATTTCGTGTAGGGTTGACTCAGTTAATGCAGACAGAGCTATCCGTTACAGGGCCTAGCACACAGGAAGTGCTCAGTAAATGTTAAGCGCCTTTATTACTATTGTTTTTATCTGTCTTTCAGAAATAGTTCTTTTTATATAGTTTAAAAGGTTTTTTTTATAGTTAAAATTGTGTTTTTGTAGTTTAAAAAGGAGAATGTATAGTATTTAGCCTTTACAGTGGAAGATAGGAGGTCATAGTATCCTTGTGTTTTATTTTCTAAGTGTTAGGGGTAAGTTTCTTGTTCCAGACTAAGCTGAAACTGTCCCACTTAAGTTTTTCTGACTTATTACCCTGGCCACTATCCTACAAGGCCTTAGCATAGTCTCCTTAGATGGCTGACATGATTCTAAATAAGTTTCTGAGCACCGGATAGGAGTTACTATTTGCAAGGTAGTTGTGATGACGGCTGACGTGGACGGCTGACGGATTCTAAGTAAGTTTCTGAGCATTGGATAGAGTTACTATTTGCAAGGTAGTTGATGACGGCTACGACTTGATTCTAAGTAAGTTTCTGAGCACTGGATAGAGCACATTTATATGGTAGTTGTGATGATGGTTGATGGGATTCTAAGTAAGTTTCTGAGCATTGATAGGAGTTACTATTTGTAATGGTGGTTGTGATGACGGCTGACGTGATTCTAAGTAAGTTTCTGAGCATTGGATAGGAGTTACTATTTGCAAGGTAGTTGTGATGACGGCTGACATGATTCTAAGTAAGTTTCTGAGCATTGGATAGGAGTTACTATTTGCATGGTAGTTGTGATGATGGCTGACATGATTCTAAGTAAGTTTCTGAGCACTGGATAGGAGTTGCTATTTGCATAGTAGTTGTGATGAAAGTCCCAGAGTTTGGTAGGTTTTTTTTTTTCTTGCCCCAAATCTGAATACATCACAACTAGTCTTTAAGGTGTTTCATAAGCTTTTATGAACTTTTTTATTTTTTCTGATTCTGATTCTACGATGCAGCCATTAAAAATGATCATTTATAAAGACCGTGCAGCAGACTGGACAAATGGATCTGTCCTTTTGAGGGTCTGAGCACTGACTCAGGAACAGAGTTCCCGGGTTCGGATATCATTCCGGCCCTTTACCGTGTGTGTGTCCTTTGGGCAAGTTCCTTAACCTGTCTGTGCCTCAGTTTTTTTCTTCTGGAAAATGGGGTGATGATAGTACCTACACATAGGGGTATTGTGAGGATTAGCGAAGTTCAGACGTGTGAGGTGCTTAAGCCAGTGTCAGGTACATGGTGAGCACTCAATGAATGTTTGTTGTTTGTTTGTCTTTATCCAGTGTACTCAGTGAGGTGTGCCCTGGGCTTCCAGCCATGGACAAAATCTATGCACATGAAAGCCCAGAAAGACATGCCACAGCACACAGTGACTGTGCCAAAGCAGCAGAGACTTCACTTTTTTCCAGATTTTGAGTAGTTTGGTTCTATTTATTTGTATTTGCTGCTGATGGGTGAATGTGACCAACTCAAGTGCATAGAGCATCATGACTGAAGAGCATTCAGAAGGCGCCGGTGCAGGCTCATACTGAAAGCATTCTAGGATGCTCACCTTTTGGTCCAGCAAGTCTGTGTCTAGGAATTTAACCTAAGAGAGTAATTAAGAATCTACACAGTGACTTATTTACAGAAATGTTTGTCACAGCATTGATTGCAATATTAAAAAATCAGCAGGGCACGGTGGCTCACGCCTGTAATTCTAGCACTTTGGGAGGCTGAGGCTGGTGAGTTGCTTGAGCTCGAGTTCACGACCAGCCTGGGCAGCATGGCAAAACCTCGTCTCTAACAGAAAATACAAAAATTAGCCAGGCATCGTGGTGCATGCCTGTAGTCCCAGCTACTCAGGAGGCCAAAGCGGGAGGATTGCTTGAACCCGGGAGGTAGAGGTTATAGTGAACTGAGATTGTGCAGTGAGTCTGGGTGACAAAATGAGACCCTATCTCAGAAAAAAAAAGATCGGAGACAACCTTCATTGCATACAACATTGGTCAAATAAATAATGGCGCATCCATTTAGCTGAGTACTGTTTCACCACAACAGATGACCTGGTCTTTGGATACTTATTGGCATGAAGAGATGTTCATATTCCGTTGCTATCTAAGAGCATGTTAATAGTATAAATAGTAGGTTGCCATGTTTTTGGAAAGCTACGTATTTGGTTGTGTGGTGCATAAAAGGGGAACTCGGGAAACATCAAGGTATCCCCAGTGGTAGGTAGTGGTGCTTTGCCTTGAGTGGTATTTTATTTTCTTCCTTTAATGCAAATATATTTTCTCTCCAATTAAAATACATAGTTTTATAAATATCTAATTTTTTTTTTGAGACGGAGCCTCGCTCTGTGGCGCAGGCTGGAGTGCAGTGGTGCAATCTCGGCTCACTGCAAGCTCCACCCCCTGGGTTCACGCCATTCTCCTGCCTCAGCCTCCCGAGTAGCTGGGACCACAGGCGCCCGCCACCACACCCGGCTAATTTTTTTTTTTGTATTTTTAGTAGAGACGGGGTTTCACCATGTTAGCTAGGATGGTCTCGATCTCCTGACCTCGTGATCCGCCCGCCTCGGCCTCCCAAAGTGCTGGGATTACAGGCTTGAGCCACCATGCCCGGCCATATCTAATCCTTTTTTAAAACTGCCTGTAGAGAAGGTTGGTTATTCTTTATTCCTTCAGAGCACTTGTAGGAGAATATTTAGAATACATTGCACACAGGTTTGGAACCCTGCACACGCAGGAACTTGCACCTTCCTGTTCTTGTTTTTGGCCATTCCTGGAGAGTGTGCCTACCCTGGTACTGTCTCACAGAAATGTGCAACCTCAAAACCCCTGCTACTTCACCGTAGCCTCAAGTCTGGTCCTGTAAGTACAGGGTCATCTTAGGAGATATAAAGAATCCACTTCTTCCTCTTTCCTGGCAAGCCTCTCTGTGCCTGAAAATAGCTCTAGCAGTAGGAGATGGAGAGAGCTAGGGAGATTTAAGCCTACCTTGCTGGAGTTTGTCTCTGAGTTGTAAAGTTCTATTTTTCCTTGTTTTTGTAGGAAAGAACAGCAGTGTTTCAGGAATTTTCACATTCCAGAAGAGGCGTCCTTCTTTGCACGGTACGTATCGTCCTGTCTTCCATGCGACGGCTGATACATTTCTGTGATGGCTGTGCAATTTTTTGTCTCTTGACAGTTTGTGCTGTAGTCAGTCCTACAGGGCCCAGGAACACTAGGGGCCCCTTGGTGGGGCTGGCCTCTTTGCACTTCTTTCTTGTTACCTGACAGGGCCACAGATAGCCAGCCACCACCGTGCAGAAGACTTGGCAATTTGCTCACTAATAGTGGCAGCTGTTGGTCTGAAAATGTGTGAATCTTGGAGATTTCTATCCACCCAAAACTTGTAAATTACAGCTATCGGGAGTAATTAGAGCTGAGAAAGTCTTTCCACAACAAAATGACTCTGCTTGCCTCTGCTCACCTTTTCTTAAAGGAAAATTGGTGCATTTGGGCCAATTTTATTTGCTGTTGTCTCTGACTGTCATTTGCCCTGTGATTTCAGGGCCAGCTCCCTCAGCCTCAGGCTCTGCAGTCCTGGATAGCTGCCTCCTCCAGCACAACACTGACCTTTTAAACTCATGCCTCTTGTGCTCTTTCGAGATTAAAAACTCACACCTTCAGTGTTCTGTCCCCACCGCCCGGGGATTCACTTTACCGTAGTTGTTCCTATCTCCAAAGATTAAAATGCCGTCTCTGTTCCATCTTGGATGATGTAACTTAATCCCCAGCTGGTTATTGGAGAAGTTCCTATATATACAGTAATGAAATTGTACTATAAATTTAGTCAATCCAGTGAACAAGTGCTGGGTAGAAACAAAGATGCTAAGCTGTTTGAATGCCCATCTAGGCCACGTTTGATGCAAGTACTTTTTAAGGAACTTGTATTCCATATTCACTATTAAAGGCAATGGAGACTTTTCTGTCTAAGTGTTGAGTTTCTATATGAGTGCAGCATGGTTTCTTGTGTGTATATATATGTGTGCTCACCTGCAAGAGGGGGCTTGTTGGTAACCTGCTTATCACAGTGTCGGTTCTCATGTGTGTGAGGCAAACAGTGGCTCTGCTGACACTCATTCAGGCCTGAGAGCTGTCACCATGGAATGCTTGCCTACTGAGGAGATCTGTGTCTGACCAAGTCACAGACACAGAGGCCCTTTATGAGACCCATCCACGAGTCAGATGCTCAAGCTTGTTCTAAAGCCAGCTTTATGCATGGCCTATAGTGAAGATAAATTCTAAATAATCTACTTAAATAAATTTTTTGGGCCAGGTGCAGTGATTCACGCCTACAAGCCCACCACTTTGGGAGGCCAAGGTGGGAGGATCGCTTGAGCCCAGGAGTTCACGACCAGCCTGAGCAACAATATAGCAAGACCCCGTCTCTACAAAAAAAATTAAGGACTAAAAATTAGCCAGGCATGGTGGCACGTGCCCGTAGTTCCAGCTACTTAAGAGGCTGAAGCGGGAGGATCACTTGAGCCTAGAAGGTCGAGGCTACAGTGAGCTGTGATTGCACCACTGCATTCCAGCCTGAGCAACAGAGTGAGACCTTGTCTCAAAAGAAAAAAGGCGGGGGAAAGAAATTTGTCAACAGTCCTTATTATATCTAACAATACTTTGTGGAACCTGACCCCTGTTTGTCTCTTTTCACCCTACTCCCCCTTGTTCCCTACCCTTCAGCAAAACAGCCCCCTCTTTCAGTCCTCGAATATATCATCTGGCTTTTTCTGGCTTTGGGGCCTTGGTTCATGCTAGTCCCTCTGCCTGGAACACTACCATGATTTTGACTAAACCGTCCTTAGGTCTCCCCTTAAATTTTATGTCTTCAGAGAAATGAAACTCAGGAGCCCCCTGTTCTTCCCCATGAGGCCGTCCCAGTGCACCCTTCATTTCTTCACCGTAATGCTCATCCCGCCTGGTCTGCGTACCTTCCCAGCCAGTCGTAAGCATCGTGAAGACAAGGACTGTGATTTGTTTGCATTTCTATCCCAGTGTCTAGCACAGAGCAGGCACGCAGTAGGTGCTTGGTTTTGTAGATCGAATTGGGGCCGATAGATGGGGCCCAGGAAACTCGATGTTGAGGGCTACCAGTGTGTGTGTTTTTCTAAAGACAAACATTAATAGACTTGCTCATTGGGAATGGGTTTTTCATTCCTCTGGTGTTATCTGGGAAGTGAATGTTCTGGACCGTCAAAATAGCAGTAGGAACCTTTGGGGTGGAGTTCAGGTTATGATAGGAACAGAATATTTTATCTTTGACCCATAACATGCTGGATTTATCCCTCGGAAATTGTTGAGTCTCCTAGTATGCAAACGCATTATAGACATGGGTGAGCTGTAAGCCTTAAAGAAAACTCCAGGTATCTGAAGTTCCGTTGTTTGTATTTTTAGTAGCTCTGCATGGAAGAGAAGATTAGTCTTTCTGAAATAGTTAATATAATTCTTGGTGAGGTCAAAAGCATACGATCACTTTCCTTGTTCTGTCTATCTGATGATACCTGCAGGCACATGGTATCAGCTAGACAAAGAATGCCATTGTCTTGGCAAAGCACACTACCTCCCAGCCCTCTGCGCCCTGCCAGTCCCGGGTGCCACCTGTAAAGAAAACTCCCTCGCCCACAGCCTGATTTCTCTAAAGCCCTCAGTCTTTGTTCATTTTCTAGTCCAGGTCACTCCAGCTTGCTGATCTTCTGGGAGCTCTCTTTGCTGTGTAGTGAGGATGACTGGAGAAGAGCTGCGTGGGGTTCGTTTCTCTCGGTTGCTGGGCCAGAACAGGAGCGCAGGTTCCCAGTCATGGGAAGTCCTTCACTTCCTCTTGGTGTTCCTGCCCCTTCTGCCATGCTTGTTTGCTCTAGCTGACGCTTCTGGCATATGAGAGCTTTGGGGCGAGTGGGATGCACACACTGTAATAGATCATGCCTGGGTCGGGGGAGATGCTGCCACTCTGCGTCCTTTTAAGCAGCCTGTTGCTTGCCAGGCTATCTGAACGCTCTCCAGGAGCCTCCTTGGTGTTAATGAGGAACGAGGGCCACTTCAGGACGAGACAGATGGAGAACTGGCTTCTTTTGATAAAGAGGAATCGTGTTGTTAATCGTTACGTGGGGATTTTCCCCCCTTTATACTGTGCCTTTTGCCATTTTAATTTATCATCCCGAGATCCTTTTAACAAGGCCAGAATGAATGTCTTTATGAAAATTTGGAAATAGCGATGTGCCCACACAAAAGTTCACAATTATGCTATTTCCTTTACTGTTACAAAGTCCCCCACCCCATTTTCCTTCCTGCTAGGAACAGTTAAGGGTGCATGTGTGTGTTTTATTTCATTTTAATGATAAACATCTCAAAAACAGGGACCTTTTTAATTTCATGCAGCTCTCAAGCCCTGATACGTGGCTTTGTGTACTGTTGCTGTTGAGTAAAGGTGTGACTATGGTAAGATGGAGTCTAGGCAAAGCTTAGTTGGGGGCAAAAGAAATCAGTTTGTGAAAGACGAGGAATCCTCACACATTCACAATGTAATTTTGTGTCTTCTGGAAAACGAGATCTAAGAAAAAGCCAAGGTAAGTAGGAAGTAGGGATGAGCAGAAACGAGGCGTTGGAAGTTCAAAGCCCACTTTCCCAAGTGGAGTTAAGCAACCAAAGGGATCAGGTATCAGACACTGGATTATGTGCAAAGTGTTATTTCCTCCTGCTTATAGTGAAGAACTCACCCTAAGCCAGAGGAAAGGAACCTGGTTTTTAATACCATCATTATGCTGATGAGTTGATAAACAGAAGTACCACTGACTGGCCGGAAAATGGAGTTTCTGAGCCACCTGATTTTCAGGCTGGTACTAGGTTTTCTGTTGGTCTCCTGGTGGCTCTCCTTGGTTGTCCCTGGATGGAGTGCAGTCACCTTTTTCCCAGAAAGAAGATACCCGCAGCCCCTGCTGGGTGCCGACTGTCCCTCGGCGTCCTCCTTGGCTGTCCAGCGCACGCATTTCTTTTTCAGAAGATGTACCTAGATCACCTGTGCTGCTTTCCTCCACCTTCTCAGTATTTTTTTCCGCTTGAAGCATACTGTTCTGTCTGTGCCGTTCTTAATTTCCTCTCCTCCTGGGAAATTTCCACCATGCCAGGAGGCTAGGAGACAAAGGAGATAAGGCTGTGAGAGTCACAGAATGTCAGTTCTTTGCCCCAAATAAATGTAGACTTTCGTGCTCTTCTCTGGGGTATGCTTTTTAGGTAAAGTTGATCTTTTTCATTTTATTTTGTTTGTGTTAACGGAAAGATCATTTGGAGATTGTTTGCTGTTTACTCAGTTACGCTAACTCATGTTGCCAGTTTTTTGGCGGCTCCAGCCAAGATCTCTCGCCTCTGACAGCTTCTGCACTCTCTCCTTCCTCCTCTGATTACGCAGCCCAATCTGTCACCCGGACAACGGGGGCCTGGACCCTGCTGATGGCTTTCCACACACGGCAATAATGACTTTTGGCAGGCCGGGAAGGCGTCAGAGGCGAGTGTGCTGCGTCCCTTCTCAGAGAGACGGCAGGCCCCCTCTCCCTGTTAGTAAAAGCACTTTGTGAGGTTCTTGGGTAAATAAATGAGTCATTTTAATCCAACTGACAGGCTGGCACCTGAGCAAGCTGCCTTCCATCTGTACTCCTAGGTCTCATGGAGGCAGCCAATTGTCAGGCCCAGGGCCTTCAAGGCCTCACCGTTGAGTGTCTTTCAGAACTGACTTTAGCAATTCTTTTGCCCTAATTAGCTTAAAGGAATAAAATGAAGCTACATCTAAGTCCTAAGAGCAGACAGAACAGAATCCTCTGCCGAGTCTTGGTGGGTCATGATCTCCTGTTGATCTGATGTAGCTGGCTGACTGTGCTCCAGGGAAATGGAGCCTCTGCTGCTTCCCTGCGACCTCTCCCAGGGTGGGGCGGGGGCAGAGAATGAGATGTGATGGAGGAGGAGAGTACAGAGACATTCAAGTCACTTCTCTGCCTAATTGCCATCATACCAGTTCTTACTTCACCAGGGTAAGTGAGATTTATAGAATCTCAAGAATACTGAGATTTGTAGGT